CCTGCTCGGCGGGAAGCCTGCTTCTCCCTCTCCCACTCCCCCTGCTTGTGTTCCCTCTCTCGCTGTGTCTCTCTCTGTCAAATAAATAAATAAAATATTAAAAAAAAATATGAGATTAAGTACAGCGCCTTACAAGGACTCTGTGCAAGTGACCAGGCCTGAGGCTTACACTTCTTTAGCATCCACGGTAAATCTCTCTGTGCTATAATGACAGTTCATCAATTAATTTACCAAGTGTCCCAGCAGTGCTTCAGAAATGTTCAGGGTGGAAATCAGGGAAAAGAAGGAGTAGGACGGAGTTCAGGTGGGAAAGTCAAACACACAGCTCAAGCTAATCCATAAGTGCCATTTTCATAATCGCCCAAAGGACTGATTCTAAGTGAGGTTTTTATTTCCTTATGTTTATTTCCTTTTGTTTAAAAAAAAAAAAAAAAAGCCCTTTTTGTGGAGATAGTTTTTTTTAAAAAAAAGGTTTTATTTTGAATGCAAATAAACAAAATAACCCTGGATCTAATTATAAGCTTTTTCTGTTCTGGAGGACTCTTTCCTAGGTCTTCAATAAATGTCTTGTTGTCAGGGTGATAAGCTCTGCGTTTCTAGATTTAGAATAAAAATTCCTCTAAAATATTTTATAATCTGGTGGTGCCGGGCTTTGCCTCGATCTGGTGCACGGGGGTGGGGGAGATTCAGAGGAATTCTGTCTGTGCTTCGTTGTCTCTTGGGTTTTCCTGTATATCAGAACCAGCCTGTGAACACCCCATTTACTGTTTACCTTTTATGCCGGGCTAGTAGGAGTTCTGTGCGGACCAGAAGATTCGGACACAGTCAGTTGCCAGACTTCTTGCTAAAAACCACTCTAATAGCAACCCTGTTACAAGAGGAGAGATTACAAATGTTCTTAACAAAAGGGGAAATTGAGGCATAGGAAAGTAAACAACTTGCCCTATCCAATTATACCCAAATGGAACCTTCTGGCTCTAAGAAGATCTGTGGAAGGTCACACACTGAGGAAAAGAGCATATTTCTAGGAGAAGAGAAAACAATCTTGCATACATTATGGATTTGGTAGGGGAAGGGGTGGTCAGAACTGGGTGGTATGTGTTGAGTTTAACAGATAAGGGGATTTGGGTGAATAAGGGTGGACGAGAATTGGTGAACACCACAGACACTTTAAAAAGGACTTCGTGAGTGTTGGCAAGGGGAAACACAATAGAGATTTTGTAAGAATGGAGGCTAGACTCTGAGCCTAAGCCAACGGGCAGTGTGGCACAATCCAGCAACAGAATGTGACGTCTGGGCGTGGGGGTGGGGGCAGGGGGAGACGTGCATAGCGCCCCGCAGATCACAGGCCCTCAATCGCTGTTGAAGGAATTTGCAAAGGAGGCCGAGCACTAATGTTGTCTCGATTTGATAACCACCATTTTCCTGGTTGCCATGATCCTGGTGTGGGACCCAAGCCAGGAATCCAAAAAAGCAAAAACAGACAATGTGGCATGATACCAGAGAGTCTGGATACCAGGGGCCCAGAAGTCAAACCAGCCTGAGGTGACAGGGACTTGCCTCCTTTACAGACACTTCCCCGATCAGCCAGGGTGTCTGTGGAGGTGGTGGGGGGTGGGGCGGGGGTTGTCTCTGTGCGGGGGTGGGAGGGAAGGAGTGATTTCATCTGTTTAATGAAAAATGACCTGGACGTTTCTCTGATCCTGGAAACTCCCATCCCACCCAGGCCAAGAAAAACAGGATTAGGTCTTATTACTTCTACCACAGTTTTGCATCTTCTCAGAATGAGTTAAACGGGAGGGAACAGCAGAATAAGGTAATCTCATTCCATTGTTCCTGCAGATAGACCAGGAAGGCTCTGAATCACATATAATGGGTTAATAGAACAGACTTCCCCCCGGTCCTCTTTGAAAACTTTTCTTTTGGCTTCTTCTGCCTTTTAAATGGCACCCTTGGTTGGTATGTGTTCATGATAATAGAAAGTTTGCTTGACTGAATTGAGGCAGGCAAGTCACCCCCTCTGGCATTCTGTCTACTGCTGACAAGCTACCGATTTCAGGTCTAATATTCCCCTGTGAGTTCCACAGGGAAACAGCTTTTGCCCTGAAGCATGAGGCTGTTAATAGCACAACAAACATTTTGCCTGAGCGAACTACTGACATGTAATTGTCTAGGTGACCTAACAGGGTGACACTTTCTAAGATTTTTCCGCATAGATTTTTGGGGACATAGTCTTTTCATCACTGCCAATTTTGGGATAGCTAGAAGTGTAACATAAAAAAAGAACCTCACAGTGATCAGTATGTAACAATCTCTTCAGTGCCTCAATTCTTCACATCATCCTTTGAAGGGGAGAAGAGGGCAAATAAGTCAGTCCAGGGGGCCATTTTCTTTTTAATGCAATGTATATTTATTGTAAACAATAATATACAAAAAAAAAAAGAAAGAAAAAAGGAAAGATGAGTTTCACAGAGAGAACAAAAGGTTTGGGGGGAAACAAGCAAAACAAAACACAAACACAAACCAAACCTTACCTAAGGACAAAACATGATTTAAATGCCAGGTTTCTTAAGTTACAGAAATATTTTTTTAAAGATCTGCTTTTATACAGAAATTGAAAGATGCCATATTATAAGAGTGCTTTAAGATTTTATTCTACTGACTTCTAAAACTGTTAATATATCTTTTTTTAAATAAAAAAAAAAAGTTTGCTGTCTTTTTTAAAAAGCAATCCTCAAACTCTCCAGCCACAGAAGGAATTAAGAATTCAGGTCTCTCGGTGGGCTGATCCCCTCCACTTTTCCTCCTTGTCTCCAAGAGAACATGCAGGGGACTATCCATGACACATGCCAGCCTTGTTTTGTGTCCACACACACACACACACACACACACACACACACACGCACAATTTAGGCAGCCCAAAAATCTGTGGCAGAAAAACACTGAAAATGACTCAGTGATACACTACATTTGCAACCTCTCATTTATACAAAAAGAGAAACAAGTTTCCAGTTTGTTTTCAACAAAACAACAAAGAAAAAAAAAAAAAGGACAGACAAAAAGGCATGTATATTATACAAATCTAGGACAAGAAATCCAAAGAAACTTACTTTTAATAATAATAAAAAAGATTAAAGAGATAAATAAAAAAAAAAAACTGGTTACAGTTAAGAACATAATTTAACAGATGACCATACCCTTTGAGGAAGGCTCCAACAACCTATTTTAAAGAAGGTAAAATTAAAAAAAAAAATTTTTTTTTAAAGAAAAAGATTTTTTTTTTTTTTAACGAAAACCTCTCCTTACAAAATAAATAATTTTAGCTCGTGGAATGTCTTAAAGGTTCACTGCTGGTGTTTGGAGAGGCGCAGGTGACAGCGTAAGGGAGAAGGCTCCAGCATCTGTGTCCCACACGGGGCTTGAGCAGGCAACCAGGGAGGGGGCACTCACTGGCTGCTGAAACATTCCCAGAACAGATTTCATCTCCTTTGCTTGGTTTTCACTTCTTTCTTAAGATTGCAACAAACAAGCAAATGCGGAAGGAAGGAAATGCACTAACAGAGAGCACAAGTATTTTCCAGCAGCACGGTTTTAAGGCTCAAGGTATTTTCTCGTTTAAAAAATATATATATGATAAAGCTTACCAAATGCTTCTCTAGACTATGGTTTACTCCCATATTTGCAAAATAAGGCCTTTATTTTTCTTTCTAAGGCAGCTCCTTCTTGAATCAGAAAGCCTGAGGAATTAAGCAAAGCTAACCCCCAAAACTGATCACGTAACACAAATCCGTGTTTTTTTTTTAATGTTAATGCAACAACACACACACACTTTTTTTTTGTTTGTTTTTTGTTTTTTGTTTTTTTTTGTAAGAGAAAGCTCATCTGTACAAAAATACTCTGGTTGCAGGAAAAGCTAGGGCACACTGTTCAACTAAGTAGTTTAGCTGTTGGAAAAATAAGAGCATTTAATTTCTTTATCTAAAAATATGTATAAATCCCCTCAAAACGGTAATGAATCATACACAGTACATACTAAAAATATTTAAAATAGAGAATATTCCTCACAGAGGACTTTTTTCTTTAATTACTGCTAAAAAATAATTACAAAGTTCAAACAGGCAGAGAGATTGAGCAAATATGGTCACACGATGATTCTCCATTTATCCTCCATTGCTTGCTTTGAAGAAAGTTTTCAAGTTCGGTTTCTCCTCGATTCCGCCGGTCCGCCTGGCCACGAGCGGCCTGGCCACTGATTTGCAACAAGGTGGTAATGCGTTTGGATAGCTAATGGTTCGGTCTTGGAATCTGGGTACGAGTTGCCTTTAGCTTAAATGTCTTTAAGGAATAAGGAAAAAAAAATGTCAAGGAAATTCTGGTTGGTTCTTTCTTTCTTCGGTGCTTTTTAGGATCATCACGCGGTCAGCATCCCCCTTGGTGCAAGGCCTCCTCAAGGTCTGGTGAGCTGTGTGTAGACCGGCTGTTCCCAGTGCTGGGGGCTATGGGTCTGCGGGATGGAAGGGACCCCGGAGGTGTCGGCGATGGGGGTGTACATGGGCCGCTGCGCGGGGTTCATGTAGGTGAAGGTGGAGTAGAGGCTGGAGCCCTGGCCCGCCGCGTGGCTGTAGTAGGAGCCGGAGTTCTGGTGGTCTGGGTAGTCGTACTGCGAGCGGGTGATGGGCGGGTAGGAGGGGCTGTAGTGCGGGAGGTTGAAGGGGCTGTAGGCGATCTGCTGCGGCGAGTGCTGCTGAGGCTCGCTGTAGTGGCTGGGACTCAGCTGCTCCGTCTTGATGTGCGTTCGCTGCGACTGGCCCGGCTCGCTGCTCAGCGTGGTCAGCGTGTGCGCCGGCTGCGGCTGCGG